TCAAAGCTTCAAATTTTTCCTTCCGCAAACTTCCTGTATACTTGGAGTAACTTTCGATTCATAGTGTCGTTTAATGTTATAGTCTTTGAGAACAGCTATGGTTTCATTACAAATTAAACATAGCGCCTTATTACTGAACTCAATCACAAAATACTGAAAGTTCCATTTTTCTTGGAACGTTCCGCATTCACTGTCGATTTTTTGCTTCTTTTCCGTACTAACAAATCACACATAAAAACAATTAGTCGAATCAAAATACTTTTATTGACGGGTGTTACTTTATTTCACAATAGACAATTTCGCTTCCTTCGCCTTTCCTACGCAGACTAACTCGCAGTTGCGCTGCTAGCCTTTTTATATGCAATTATTACTGCCATCTCGAGGTAATCGGAATACACTAGCTAGAACCAGAACTTAACACCTAGCGGGTAGCTGAAAAAGATAGTACATAGTACCACTACTCGCCACTAGATGTCGTTAAGTGTCACAATACACGATAATAATTGAAATGCATAAGAAGCGTAAGTTTGTTGAGGTCACGCACTTTGCGACTATCCTAGTCCAGAAATATAGTTAAGGGCAGAAATTGGCCCTTGGAACAAACTGAAAAACTCATTATGGCCCGAAGGCTTCAAAGTTTGGAGACCCCTGCACTATACTATTGAAAATAACTCCATATAAACAAAAAAAAATTCATCACTTTCTCGTTTCTTTTGTAAACTGCCCAGAGGAAATCTCACAATAAAGTGTAACTTGAATACGTTATGGATTTTCATCAAGTATCAGCCAATTCCATCGCAAATGTAAAACAATAGTTTTGAGATTTCTGTGGTCAATGAACAGCATGCTCCTTTTCCTATTGATTTCAGCTCTTAATAATTGAATGCTGGCCAACTTTCTGAACATAGTTCTCAGTAATAAGTTTTAGTCGAGTTTCCATAAACCTTCTCGTCGATTTGTTAAAATTGAACTCTTAGGTCTTAGTCCAAGTCTCAGGAGGAACGTTGGAAAAACCCACTATTACATACACAATGAAGTTAAATACTTTGATTCACATGTTTATACTGATTAATGGAAAAACAGATTTTTAAACAGATATCCAGCGCGTACTGATAATCTCCTCTGTCACTGTGCTTTAGATTAATCTGTACGTGATGTAACAACTAGAGTGATTCATTAATGTTTTTATACAGTACAGCATCTCTCACGTTTTCCGATTTGCCCAGGCTGGCACTCCTTATCGTGAATATACATTTTAATATAGATAGTGGCCCAAATTTTTCAGACTCAATGGTTATGATTCGATGATACCATTTTGTGAAATGATTTGTTTTTGAAGCCTATCTGATGGTAGGACGTCGGCTGAAAGAGAAAAAAAAGAAACGTTCTATTTTCAGATATCCATATGTTGTTGTAGCTATTAGTTTGCATGATGTTATATTATGAATCATTACCAACCTCATCTACTATACAATTTTTTTTTCAGAGTAAGAGACGAATTGGAAAATATGTTTACTTTCGTAACTCTAAGCCAAACATTGGCGTCATTACTGATTTTTGCATCTTGTTTATATGTTGCATCCACTGTGAGTATGATAATTGAATTATTGCGTTTGTGTTTTCAGATAATGGGGAATGTTTCTCCTGACGAAAATCAAGTAATTTNAAGTTCATATCACGCCGAGGAGAGATACAGACGTAATAAAAAACACTTTTTACTGATCTATTACTTGTTGAAATGCTTTTTATATAACGGTAGTCACAGAACTCATTTAGAAAATATTGGGAATTCTGGGTAGATTTCGAGAAAAAGTAAATTGCAAACTCCTTGGTTATTTCCAAGGTTTCCAGTACGTTCAATTCTTGTCCTTCATTTTATTTATGTAATACTAGCGACGCGCTCCGGCTTGGCACTGGTGCAATGCCAATACTAAATCATCTACCATAAATTTAAGGGCATGGAGAAACAGTGATGAAAAGATAATTTTGTTTTTTGAACGCGCCTTCATCCCCCTGTTGGAATATTCAAAAATCCTTTTTTATTGCACATCTACAACATAAAACGAAAATAAAGCAGTTGTTTTCTGTTTTTCCAAACGCCCACTGGTAATTCTCTCCGACCCCATAGAGCTAAGTGTCTATTTCAAATTTTTCGGTAACCTACAAAAACTGTTTTCTAATTGATTGTTTTTGAGAGTAGTAAAGTATACATAATCAGTAGCATCTAAAGGAACAAAAATTGGTATGTAGCTTCCTTAGAAGTTTATGAACGTTTGTGAGGAAGAGAAAACATACAGGATATTTTGGAGTGGCCATTAATAAGCTCAAGGCTTCCAGACTGACAATTATATGGATTTTGTTATTAGTCAGTGGGCTGAAAGCCCACTTGATATTATAATGATGAGTCCAAACATGCTCTGCTATTTCTGATGTGCTAGTTTCTCCTCGCTGTGTGTGTTTCTTGTGCTCGGCAATGCGAACTTTCAATGGCCTCTCAGTTTCACCGATGTATGATTCTCCGCACTCGCAGGGTAACCGGTAAATGCAATTTTTGTAATCGCAATACGCGTTTGGTGGCCTGGTTTTCGTGAGGCTGCTACGGATAGTGTTCCCAGATCTGAAGCAGGTTCTGATGTTATACCCAATTCTTCCTAACCTTTCCGACAATCCTCTGATGTAGGGAAGTATAAGTACTGGTTGTGTTGGCTTCTCTTCCTTGTGAGGCTCTTGCTGTCTTCTAGCTGAAGTCTGTTCCACCATCACATTGGATTAACCGTATTTATGTTGACTCGCCAGGTAGTTTGGGGTGCTATTACCTGTATCTGACTTAGTAAGTGTGTTTATATGGATTCAATACCTGGATTTGGCAAATTATTCTCAATAAAATTTGTTCACTATTTTCTAACTGCCTTCATACTATTTGCTATTCTTGAACTTCTTAGAATGGGATTCCACATTCGATTGAAGATCCCAGCTTCTTCTTTTCTGTTATCCGTGTGTTTTCACTGAGTGCGTGTTCTGCCACAGATGACTTGTCTGTTTGGCCTGACCTGCAGCTTCTTTCATGCTCATTCAGTTTTGTTCCCATGAATCTTTTGGTGGTTCCGATGTATACCTTCCCACAAGTGCACGGTATGCGATAAATCCCTGCTGCTGATAGTGGATTCCTTTTGTCTTCAGCCGACCAAGAAGATTCAACAAAGCCTCAGGTCGTCTGTTCCTATTATACTTTCCTTCGAAGACTTTTTCTTATTGACTGTTTCATTCCCAACTAGGTACTACCAAAGTTTTCAATGTAATAATAATAATATAATTTATCAATGAAAAGAGAGACAGAATGTATACAGCAAATACAATTTTTTTGCATGAGTGATACCTACTCGATAAGTGAGCAATCACTTGTTTCGAAATAAAATTACTTTATTCAGCTACATAAAAAGACAAATATATTCAATCCAATACAAGCATATTACGAAAAAATGCATCAAACTTAAAAAATATAAATGGAAATGACAGTGTATAATAAAAAGCAAACACAATAATAAGAACATTTATGCAGTAAATATTTTTTTTGCATAGATAATACATACTCGATAAGTGAGTACTCACCTGTTTCGAGAAAAAAGTACTTTACTCAACTACCTAATAAATATTCGGTCAAATACAGGGAAAAAACTCCAATAAAATTGATTTACAAAGGTTTAAGTTGATTCTTCTATAAGAAATGCGAATACTTTAACAAAAACCCACGATTCAAGAGCTCTTTGATTCTGACAATGATTCGCATGCAACAGCCTGTATATTTATCTATTGGCAAATTCACTCCACTTACTCTCACTACACTCGTTGCGGTAAGTTCATATCACGCCGAGGAGAGATACAGACGTAATAAAAAACACTTTTTACTGATCTATTACTTGTTGAAATGCTTTTTATATAACGGTAGTCACAGAACTCATTTAGAAAATATTGGGAATTCTGGGTAGATTTCGAGAAAAAGTAAATTGCAAACTCCTTGGTGATTTCCAAGGTTTCCAGTACGTTCAATTCTTGTCCTTCATTTTCTTTATGTAATACTAGCGACGCGCTCCGGCTNACAAAAACCTTCAATTTTCAGGTCACGATGGAGTATTTTTTGGGCTTTTGAATTGTTTGAAAACTCAACTATTGATAATTTGCGATATCTTCAAAACCATCAGAGCAAGAAGTTTGATGGCTGTCAATTTGCCACAGAATTATACAATTCTTCACGACAAACATAACCCCATTTTAGAACGTGAGCTGTACAGGCAGCTCACCCACTGCACACAACATCTCAAAATTTTATTAGGGTGAGTATTTTCCAATTGCAGTCGAAGAAGATGAAATTCATTGAACACACCTATCATTGAATATTGTCCAAAATTATCATAGTGATGAAACAATTCCACTCAGAACACTTCTCTCACACACCAGAACTAAGAGTTCATCTTTCGAACTGAAATATACAAAGTGTCCAAAATAAGGGAGGCCAACATGGGAAAATCTAAAATCTTAAAGACGAATTTTCACCGAATGGATGAAACCACACTAAAACATCAACTATGTCGATTTCGACAAAACGAGTGATGAAAATAAGAAACATTTAGACGACTTTGTGTAACGTGCGACTGTTTTTGACAACAACGAAATGTCACGTCGCCATACAGAAGTATCGAAGTGTTTCGGTGTGTTGTGGGTATGTGTGTTTTTGTAGGGTTTGCTATGTGGAAACGGTAAGCCACAACAATAAGCAACTATTCAGTTCACTGAATGTTGTTTCAATGTATGATATTATTACTTTATTTGAAGTGTTGATCTGAGATGGGTATAAATTTCGAAGATCACTCCAATCATTTCGATGTCATCATCTATCCAATCTGTCATAATTTTATCCGTTTCATGATCTATTTGTCTTCTTAATAATTATCTCATCCAGTATCTTGTTTTTTTGCCCTCGCTTTTTTTACTCGGAAAATTCGATTTTACACAAAGTTTTTAAGGGTATTTATAGATGATAAATTAAAATTTGATAAGAATATANGTTGCTACCTGAAAATAAAGCAAATTAAGTTATTACTTTCTTATTTCATATTTGGGAGCTATCCTCCAAATATGACTTGAAACACTTGAGAATATATCAAAATGAAGATATCTGACAGAAATACCCCCAAGTGACTTTTATTTCTTCCAGGTTCCTATGACGTCTCCAGAATTTTTTGCACAGATGGAATATTTTTTATGCGTTCTGGTCCAATTTTCTCTGATATGTTGGTTCGGGAATGAAATAACCTCTGCCGTGGGTATTTGAAAATATCTGTGAATGAAAAAAATCCTATTACTTCCTTTACAGAGTGAGCTGATACGATTATCACTATACGAAAGCGATTGGCTTAGTTCCAGCCCACGATTCAAGAGCTCTTTGATTCTGACAATGATTCGCATGCAACGCCCTGTATATTTATCTATTGGCAAGTTCACTCCGCTTACTCTCACTACACTCGTTGCGGTAAGTTCATATCACGCCAAGGAGAGATACAGACATAATAAAAAACACTTTTTACTGATCTATTACTTGTTGAAATGATTTTTATATAACGTTAGTCACAGAACTCATTTAGAAAATATAGGGAATTCTGGGTAGATTTCGAGAAAGAGTAAATTGCAAACTCCTTGGTAATTTCCAAGGTTTCCAGTACGTTCAATTCTTGTCCTTCATTTTATTTATGAATTACTAGTGACGGACTCCGGCTTGGCACGGGTGCAATGCCAATACTAAATCATCTACCATAAATTTAAGGGCATGGAGAAACAGTGATGAAAAGATAGTTTTGTTTTTTGAACGCGCCTTCATCCTCCTGTTGGAATATTAAAAAATCCTTTTTTATTGCACATCTAATTAGAAACAAATCCCTTTAAAAATCAAAACTCAACATTTGAAACATCAATTTGAATACTTTTCGAAGTGAATTTGAAAAACTCATGAATTAAACTCAACTTTATTCTGCTCAAACTTGCCTTTGCTGTAATAACCCAAATTGAGGAACATTCCCCATTCGTGAGACAGAACATTTAAAATTGAAGCAATTTTTACAGTTAGCCAGAATATTTGGTTGACAAAAACAGAAACTATTGAATGAGTAAAAATATCATGCAATTATTATGCATGCTAGTTTCGTCAGACAAGAAGGTTATTCTTTTGAATATTAGTACGAAACAAGTCCGGAAAATACGAAAATTTTCTCAATATGTGTTTTGAAACCTATTATTTTCACACGCACCGGCTAACCCAATAATTGATGCTACCTGAAAATAAAGCAAATTAAGTTATTACTTTCTTATTTCATATTTGGGAGCTATCCTCCAAATATGACTTGAAACACTTGAGAATATATCAAAATGAAGATATCTGACAGAAATACCCCCAAGTGACTTTTATTTCTTCCAGGTTCCTATGACGTCTCCAGAATTTTTTGCACAGATGGAATATTTTTTATGCGTTCTGGTCCAATTTTCTCTGATATGTTGGTTCGGGAATGAAATAACCTCTGCCGTGGGTATTTGAAAATATCTGTGAATGAAAAAAATCCTATTACTTCCTTTACAGAGTGAGCTGATACGATTATCACTATACGAAAGCGATTGGCTTAGTTCCAGCCCACGATTCAAGAGCTCTTTGATTCTGACAATGATTCGCATGCAACGCCCTGTATATTTATCTATTGGCAAGTTCACTCCGCTTACTCTCACTACACTTGTTGCGGTAAGTTCATATCACAGACGTAATAAAAAACACTTTTTACTGATCTATTACTTGTTGAAATGCTTTTTATATAACGGTAGTCACAGAACTCATTTAGAAAATATTGGGAATTCTGGGTAGATTTCGAGAAAAAGTAAATTGCAAACTCCTTGGTGATTTCCAAGGTTTCCAGTACGTTCAATTCTTGTCCTTCATTTTCTTTATGTAATACTAGCGACGCGCTCCGGCTTGGCACGGGTGCAATGCCAATACTAAATATAAATTAATCTACCATAAATTTAAGGGCATGGAGAAACAGTGATATATTTTTTAAGCAATACGCTTAAAAAATATATATACGAATAACAGAGAAATTAAAAAAGCAAACACATCAATAAGAAGATTTTATAAGTACAAACATTTTGGAATGTAAGTAATAGTTATGAAAATAAAAGTTAAAACCGTGCATGAAGAATTAAAAAGGCGATTAANTATGCAATTGGCAATACAACTGAAAGAGTCGACTTCCAATTTTGGAATGAGCACACTTGCAGACCGGTTTCGGGCTCATTAGCCACTCATCAGTGCAAGATAGTGGCCATCATCGACCTACTACTGCCAGTCTTCAAGCATAGCCCACTGACTAATAAGAAAGTTTTTCTTCCTTATCCAGAGGAAGCGGGCAAATTACGGGTATGCAATTGGATAGTACTTCGTCCACTAGATGGAGTGACGTTTTGTTGTTTGCTCCAACTTAGGAAGAGGAATGAAATACTCTGAAAGAATTCCGATTTTCAATTATGGAATATCATTGACTTTAGTTCGATGATGGCCACTATCTTGCACTGATGAGTAACTAATGAGCCCGCTATACAATAGCTATACAAAAGCCATAGCGCTATACAATAACAGTAAAGACACGCCTGTACAGCGAAACACGTGTTGCGTTTTTGTAAAATTGTTCAGTGGAAATCTCATAATAAAGTGTTTCTTGAATACGTTTCTTAAGAAAATTATTGCAATCTTTCATTTGGGTTGAATTTGAGACACTCAAAGCTACCTCTAACGATCACTCATCTGTTTTTCTCCAAACCTATTATTGCTCCTCATATTTTTTTATGGCAGTAGGTGTTTTTGTGACGATGAATACTTTTTTGGGAGTTCAATGCATTTTCAGTATTCTAGAATTGTATCTTTATCGTATTGGAAAATGAAAATTACCAATTACTTTTTTTATAAACTGATTTGACAAATTCATGAATCTAATAATCGAGAAGAAAATGTACACTTTTTCAGGTATGTCGAGGATCTTTCTCTTACTTTGCTCTGTTCAAAAGTGTCCAGTAAATAGAAGAACATCGCTGAAGCTGGCGAAAAGTAGTTTAATGAAAATCATGTTCAACTTTGATTCGCTTTCAACAATAATGAAGATAATTTAAAATGGTAGATGCACTTGCAATGACATTCACTACGATTATGATATCACTTTCTCAATAATTTTAATGGCTTTACTCATCCCAGCAAAATGTATTATTGCTGATGATACGAAAAATGACAATTCTTGAAAATAATAGAGTATTATGAAATGTTGAACACACACACAACACTAACATTTGATGCTAACAGCTGTTTCGACACACTGTGTCATCTTCTAGGCGAGTTATAAAGTAACCTAAGTCATCTTAAATAATGAAAGGTGCATTGGTAAGTGGAGAGAGATATCAAGGGGCATTTGGGAAATTACTAATAACGTTAACATGTGATTTTATCTCAAAGTGGAGTGCAGTAGATTTGCGAAGAATAAAAACTCAAAGTCGTCTCCACAATTTATTATCACCCTCAGATGTTAGAACGGTAAAACCATCAATCAGTACATATTTCGAACCTATATAAATTCATCATCAGCTAATTATTTAAAATTATACAATGAAAGAAGAACAGCATAACAATATTATTACAGTATAAAATATTTTCTTCTCCATGTGTGTATTTAATACTTCATTGCATCAACTATTGTTATGTTGTTCTTCTTTTATTGTATAATTTTAAATAATTAGCTTATAATGAACCTATATCGGTTCAAAACATGTACTGATTGATGGTTTTACTGTTCTGACGCCTGAGGGTGATAATAAATTGTGGAGAGGACTTTGACTTTTTATTCTTTTCAGTTTACAGGTGCTACTTAGAATTTTCAAAAATCCATTTCATGACCAGGCAAATTCACATATTCAGTTGTTCAATATATTGATTTGTGCATTATTGTCAATATAATGATAGATCGCAAATGAACCGTGTATTTACAACGCTTATTTCTTAAATTGAAAATAAAACAAAGAAAATCATCATTCTTTCATAAAATATTATAATTAAACATTATCTGAATCAACATCAAAGATATTTTTAGTGCTAAATAAATGAAGTTTAGAAATAGNCAGCGTGTCGAAACAGCTGTTACCAATAAATGTTAGTATTGTATTAATTGTGAAGTATTATTTTCGCATTACTGATTCAATTAAAATGAATTTACACTTATCAGAAGCCGAAACTGTAGAACATATCATGAAATGTTCAATTTCCGAATTTTCAATTCGAATGAAGTACTCGCAATAAAGAAAATAAAACGTTTTGTAGTTTTTCTTTAATGAAAAAATCATCCTGGTACCTTTCGTCACAATTCCTTCTATAGGATAATAGCAAAAGAGAATAACCACCACAACTTGATTGTAATCCAACAGAACAGTTTTTCACTCAGGGGAAGTTTGAAGAAAATTTAGTTTCTGTAGGAAAATTTTCTAGAACATACTCTCGCGTAGATTACAGATGGGGTATATTTCATATATTTATACTAGGCTTTTCAAAAGAAACTTCACTTTCATTCTCTCAAAGATGACAATGTGACGCATTATTTCAAATAACACGTCAATTTGTATCTCCATATGGTAAACAGCTGCCCCCATTTTTTTCAGTTGCATTACAATCGAGTGAGACACCATTCCAATATACAACTTCCCTTCTATCACTTGGTGTATTTTTCAAAATTGGTTATTGGGATATTGGGATATAAATAAGATGTTCGAAGAGCAGTGGCTTGGTCTTCCACCAGATATCCATAAGATATCCATCAAGAAGGTTCATGTGATATCCTCAGGGTATGAAACAAAACGCGTATTGGATGAAAAAATTACTCATTCACATAGATACTAGACAACATTGTACTGCCACTCACAAAAAACCAAATGAACATATGAAAATATATAGTATCTTTTAGTATATTTTCTATCTGATTCTGCTGTGTGACGCTCATTGGCACATATTTACTAGTTTTTATCGCTTCCTCGGTTCCTTTATTAGTTCTCACAAGTTTATTCATTTCTGACGCTGCTGCAAAAGGGATGAGTACCGACAGAAATAATGAAAGCTTTTGATCGAACTCAATTTATTCTGAAAGTATGTGAGAGTTAAATATGAGTGAGGAGGGTCCTATGCTGGATATATTATTGTCGCATTCAAAGTCGTTGAAACATTCACTCTGGCTGATTTTTGAACAGAATGAGATGGATATAGAGGCAATGCTATATCTGAAAAATATAATTACATCAGTGATGTAGGGGAGGGTTTTAAAAATCATCCGCAACCAAATAGCATTTAGGGTATGATGAAACCAAAATTAGACCCCTTTGAAATGAAAATTAACATGTTTCTCGACATTTCTGAACACATGTCTATTCATGAGTTGCAGGAGATGTCAAATTTGCATTGAAATACCATATGTATAACAGTAAAATATATTGAGCGCCAAACTGTAACCGTACTAATTTCAAACATGCAAATCGTGTTTTCTTATTCTTTCATAGCCTAGATTCAATGCAAAAGCGTATAAAAATAAATATGAAACAGGTTGAAGATACACATATTTCATCTCAACTCAGATAGATAGGCTCATTCTGATGTATGTAGAAAATGAAAACTATTCTGATATGATAGTAGTAAAAAATTATAAAAAGAAATATGTTGTGAATATGATATGATTGAAATGTACTTGAAACATAAGAATGATTAATACTGTATTTTTC